GACGGAGTGACTGCCTCCCGAAAGTCTGACAATATCTTTTTATGCTTTGGCAGCAGCCACCCCTCTCTCGGCATTGGTTCGCTTTCTGGCCATGTGTTTTATTAGGCATGTTAATTAAAAGACATGAAATGAAAATAATTAAAAAATATGTATAAAAAACATACACACATGGGGTGTGTGTCTGTGCCACATAAACGGTTTTTATAGAGAAAAGTAGATGCGGTTCATAGGCTCTCAATGGTGGATTTTATGTATTCAAATTGTTAACTGAGTTAAAATTTTTTTTTTAATTTTATTTAAGCAAGAAAATATAGTACATATATTAAATATAACATTTATAATAAATTAAGGGACGCTGAGGTATTTATTAAAATATTTTTAAACCATTAAAAGCCACCCTGAGTGGTTATGAAAAGGGATGAGATCCTTGTGAAAAAATTAACACATATGTGAGCATATGTAAATTACCTAAAACAAAAACCAAGAAACAGGTTAAGTTCAATTAAATATTAACAAAAAAATAAGAAAAGGATAGGGAGATAAAAGAGAGAGAGAGAGAGAAAGCTAAGCCTCATCTATTTCCCTTTGCCTTATTAACTCAATGCTGTGGTGTCAATTTTCACAAACAACAACACTGAAAACAAAAGGAAACAAAGCTAAAATATGGCAACATTATCTACACCCCATCCCTACGCCTTTGTTTAAACATTTTCGAAGGGGGGGGGTCTTAAGTGTGGCTAATAACGCCTACAACACAAAAAACAGCTGCGGGGTCAAGGAGGCGTCTCCTGAGAAGGAGGTCCTGCTTGAGCGACACTTTTAAGAAAATTGCAAAGTTTTCCCTAACAAAGGGAATCAGTGAGGGGAAAGGGGGAAAACCAAGAGGGGGAGTGGGAGACTTGAACAATACTTTGATGCGATTTTGCGGATATTAGGTGTTAATTTTTCAAAGGAGCCCCAAAAACGACATTGTACTCTCCTTCCTTGGCAGCGTTTATTAGAGCAGCGGCATTGCCATGGCATCGCCCGTTTGCCTTTTGTAATTTTAACTGCTTTTGGTTAACACTTTTACGCATTGCCAACTGTAACACCCCAACACCCCAACACCCCAACACTCCAACACCCCAACACTCCAACACCCCACTCTTAACCCTTAAACATTTGCCATCGATATCACATGGAAGTAGCTCCAAGAAACAAGTCATGGGGAAGGGGGGCGTTCCCCGTCATCGATGGGAAAACTTTTTGGCAACTTTTTCTTGGCCACCTTCTTCTGTGTGTGTGTGTGTGTGCGTGTGTATATATATTTTAATTGCCCCCAAGGGGGAATTTTCCAGGAGTTGAGGGTGTTAAAAACAAGCCTTGAGTTACCGTTCTTTCGCTTTGTCAACACACAAAGGCAACAGCCAAGGGGACAAGGCACATTTATTGAGCATTTTAGACTTTCATCGATGCTTTCAGTTGAAATTATTTTGCTCATTTTAATTATTATAACCGCCAAGTACTGCTACTACAGGGAGGAGAAGGAGCTAAAGGAGGTACAGGAGCAGGAGCAGGAGCAGGAGCAGGATCAGGAGCAACAATGGAACAATGCCATTCGAAAAGGGGGAAAGGAGAAGTAGAGGCCAGGACACCATTTGCAAGTGCCGCAAAAACACAAATTTTAACGGTTATGCCAAGGCGAAAAAGGGTCCACGAAAACAGAGAGAGGGTTAAGGGTTTTTAGAGGGGGGTAAATAAGGGTGATTTTGGCCCCTACTTGCGGTGATTCTTGGTGGCCACAAAAGTGAAAGTGGCTCCGAAACTTAAGGGTTAATTCGAACAGAAAATTTTAAATATAACTAATAGTTATATTTAATACAAATATATATATTTTAGGCAGAATTAATAGAAATATTTATTTAAAATATTAAGATTTTAGACAAAATCAATAGTTATATTTATTTCAAATTAATATTCCCAACTAAATAATAAAACTTTATATTACTAGTAATAATTATTTAAGGTTTTTAACAAAGAACAAAGACAAGAAAAACATGAAAAATAAGTTTGAATAATAGTAAACTTCTTCCTAGCATTGTTTTATTTTAAAAATGGGGATTCCCAGACCCTGAAGACCCTTCTGAAGATCACTTTCCGGTTCTCAAAATATATATATTTTAGACAGAATTAGTTATATTATATTAGTTATATTCATAACGAATTCTAAATATATATTCGTAAATAAAAAATATAAATTTATATTACTAGTAATAATTATTCAAGGTTTTTAAAAAAGAACCAGCCTAGAAAATTATTAAATCTAGTCTTAAGTAATACTAAACTTACCCCTAGAATTATTTTGTTTTAAAAAAGGATACTCCTAAGGATCTTACGATCACTTTCCTTCTCTCATGAAACCCTATGAAAGACAAGTACTAAACACTAACTTTTGACTAATCCAACTTCTAGGTGAAAAAAATTAAAACCAAACAAGAAAACCCAACTAGCATTAGATAGCCGGCAGAGTTTTTGGTGTTTTATTACCAAAAAACATTTGCATTCGCTTCTCGACGCTCTCCCTCTCTCTCTCCGTGGTTACTATAATTAACTGAATATTTATTACTGCGGTAGATAAAATGTTATGCGGCTATTATTTTAGTTTTACGGCCAACCAAGAAGCCAACAAGGCAAAGCCCAGGCGAAACAGGGAAGCTCCGGCTAACGCTTGAGCTTAAGCCTCAGACGGAACATGAACATGGCAGGCAACCAAAGTGGAAAGTGGCGGCGGTTCTACATGAATATGCAATCCGAGCCAACAAATGCACTCCCTGCACCCCCTTTTGGGGCACACACCTGGAGCACACACACCTGGGACACTAATTCAGCGCAGATGCGAGTCATTGAACAGGTGAATGGAGTCAATTAAGGGTGCTCAGAATCGGGGGAACTATATAAAGATCAAAGAAAAAAAAAGAAAATCTAGATTTTTGTAAAGAATTTTATTTAATAAAATTTAATTTAAAGGAAACTAAGTCTGCTAAATTTATAAACACTCAATTTGCAATTGAATTATAGAATCCTATCGAAAATCAATCATAGCCTAGCTTAATGCATTCTTTGAATCGATATTTATCGATATTTTTATATGACACATTTTACTGAAAAATCAAAATTTGAAAAACTCATAACTAAGCCAAAAATGTATTAATTTTCATTCGCAAACCTGTTCTATGCTAGTTTTTGTTATGGTAATAAAACTGCATACTCCATGTACATTTTTTATAAATTTAAATTTTTATCAATTTTTAAAATTTATCATGATGTAAAATAACCGATAAAATTTTGAACAAAAATTTAAAAAATTTTTTCTTCTTTAAGTTGGCTAGATCGATTGGGCTTTTGATGCTGATCAAGAATATATATTATATATAGGGTCGGAAATGACTTTTTCACAGCGTTTGAGGCTTCTGACTAAAATTATATTACTATTTTTTAACTGATTTTAATCTATATTTTTATATGAAGTTTTTTCGATAAATCACATGGTAAAAATCTCATAACTAAGCCAAAAAGGCATTAAATTTAATTCGGAAAGCTGTTCTATGCTGGGTTTTCAGAGGTTAATAGATCTGCATGCTCAATATAACACTTTTTAAAATTTAAAATTTTTTCAATTTTTCGAATTTCAAATGATGTAAAATTAACCATAAAATATTGAAAAAAATTAACAAATTTTTTTTTCTGCCAAATATGGCTAGATCGATTCGGTTTTTCATGCTGATCAAGAATATATATGATTTATGGGGTCTGAAATTATTCCTTCACAAGTTACAAGCTTCTGATTAAAATAATATTATCCTTAAGGGTTACAAATTTGGATGTCTAAAGCTTTATACTCTAAATTTATTGGTTGTTATCATTGGTGTACTTTGTTGTTGTTGTTGTTGTTGAATTTATTTGTGAAGAAGAAAACATCTTGAGTTGAATATTCAAAATTTATTTATAGATTTTATTATTTTTATTGTTTAATGCATTGGTAAAATGTTAAAAACAAATTAAAAAAAAAGGGTTTCACCATATAGTTTTATACATATTCTTGGAATTGGGAACTTTATTGTGAAATTAAATTTTAGGTTTTGAAAGTAGAATTATTCAGTTTATTTGTTTGTTTTTTTATTTTTTAAAATCTATTGTTGGAATTATTGGTGTATTTTTGAGAGTATTGGTAAACACTATTGTTGTTTCCAACTAGAATCTTGTCTTATATTATTGTGATCCTTATTAGTATTGCGATCACTCTAAATGTCCCAAAACACAATAAAAAAATATATAAAAATTATTTAGACACTCTTAATACCTATATAGGCTTGCATCCATTTAAAATATAAGCCAGAATACAGCCAAAGTTGGCAACACAAGGGGTCCTGACACCCAGAGTAAGGTTTCCAAGGATTCACCATCTGGTGGAGGAAAGAGGGGGAAACCGGTCTGGAGGGGAGGTAAAACAATCGCTAATTGTTTTAGGACCTTCGCTCCAGATGCGAAGGCAATAAGGTGTGAAATTCCAGCCAGTGTTTCGACTTTTGCTCGCGGCAAAGAAAACTTTTTAAGCCAGCCAAGCGCAAATTACGCATACGCCGCGTTGTCTTACGAAAAAGCGAGGGTTTCGGGGGCACAGAATATATAACTCATACGCCACGTAGCAGCTGCCGGGTAATTATAATCATTTAATGAAGAGCACGAGCACCGACTCCGAAATGGAAACTGGTGGAAAAAAATTAAACCAAATCTAGCCAGCATTCAGCAATTGATCTATAATGATTTAATATAAGCAGATAGAGTTGAAATTTAAAATTGAATTGGCATGGCAAAGCAATTTTCACACTAAAAACTTAATTCGAAAAACCTAATTGCGACGGTAATAATAGATAAACACGCTTCAGTGCCTCAAATGGAAAGGGGGAAGACTATAAAAGCGGAAGCTGGAACCACAGACAGCAACAGTTTACTTCCGGACGAGAGAGATGCATTTGAACCTTAGCTATTTTATGGGACTCCTCCTGGTGCTGCTGTGCAGCGTCTTTGTGGTAAATAATTTGTATTAATTAATTGATTAATTGTTAAATTAGTTAATTAATTAATTGATTTCCTATTAATTTCTGGGTCCCCCCCCCTGTAGAGCTCTATGCCTCAGGCTCCTTGCGGCCCACCGCCTAGTGGCACTCCCCCGCCGGGCACTCGTCCTCCAGGACCACCGCCAGGTGGCATGAACTGTCCACCGCCCACCACAGCCAATTCTGGCTAAGAGGCTAAGATCCCCAGTTATCCCGATTACGATCCCCAGGCTATCGAGACTCTCTTCTATAAGAAAAATCCTTTAGCAATGTCTGCCTTCTTTTTTTTTGTTTGTTATAAAATATTAAATGTGTGTGTAAATGCTAAAAACAAAGGGATTTTCTTTGAGTTTTTAAAGGGGGATTTTATTCCAGGTTTTCTAAGACGTATTTTACTATTTTATTGTTTCAAGTTTGATTTGATTTAGGAAATATCCGGGGCAAAGCTAACACTTAGCTTTTTATTTGGAAATTGCTCCTCCTTGCACTCGCGATAATATGAATAGGCCACCAGCAAAAAGTATAAGCCTAGGACTAAAACAAGAATTAAAATATATATAAAATAATACATAATATATAGTTAGGATCAAGGGAAATGTATAAGAAATATATGAGAAATATATGGGATATATATGAGAAATATATGGGAAATATATGAGAAATATATAGGAATTATATAAGAATTATATTGGAAATATATAGGAAATATATAGAAAATAATATGAGAAATATGTAGAAAATTTATTAGAAATATATGAGAAGTATATTTGAAATATATGAGAAATATATGGGAAATATATGGGAAATATATGGGAAATATATGGGAAATTTATGGAAAATTTATGGGAAATCAATGGGAAATATATGGGAAATATATAGGAATTATATAAGAATTATATTGGAAATATATAGAAAATAATATGAGAAATATATTGAAAATGTATTAGAAATCTATTAGAAATATATGAGAAACATATTGGAAATATATGAGAAATATATAGGGAATAAATGAGAAATATATAAGAAATATATGGGAAATATATGGGAAATATATGGGAAGTATATGGGAAATATATAGGAAATAAATGAGAAATATTTAGGAATTATATTGGAAATATATATGAAATATATGGGAATTTATAGGAAATATATGGGAAATATACAGGAATTATATTGGAAATATATAGGAAATATATAGAAAATAATATCACAAATATATAAGAAATATATGAGAAATATTTGGGAATCTATGGGAAATAATTAGGAAATATTTGAGAAATATATGGGAAATATATGAGATATATATAGGAAATATATCCAACTTACTTTCCCCAGCAAGGCTAATCCATACATCTATGATTTCTCTGTGCCAGATATACAATTCCAAGAACCAAAATACCGGCAGCACTATCATATGAAAATCAAAGTCCACATAAAGATCATTACAAGTCCCGAATATCTCTGTGAATATATATCATATAGTTTCTATATAGTATAGTTTTGGAAATAGATTATTTACTCACCACAAAGTAAGATATCAAGAGAATTATACAACTCAAAGTATGAATTATATTCAAGAACCTATAGCTCAAGACTAGGTAGTATCCAACGGTTTTCTTAGGGCCCGGGTTAATCAGGGCGGGGCAATCACTTCAAAGAGAAGCAGGATCAGGGATATCATCGCACAGCCCCTGCCCAAGGGAATTAGAAAACAGAATTTTCTCAAACGTATAAATGATAAGCACTTCATTTTTACATAATTTTTATATATTTATCAGATGAAAGTTAAGCTAAGGTAACCGAAGAAATCGAAGAAAATATTATTAACAATAATATTGCTATTCCCTGAAATTAATTAGGTTTGCTATATTCTTCCTGTACAATTTTCCCCGCTATTCCCCAGTCAATATAAATTTATATATATATATCCAACTTCGAGGTTGAGGCTGAGGAATTTCCCCTTGGCTTTCCCTTAGCTCATCTATTTTGCATATTTTGCCAAACTTTTCCAGCTAGTTGTGCTTGTAAAATATTACACGAGGAGCAACACCACCCACCACCACCAGTCGATATTAAAAAAGATAAAGTTTTATTAGTTCTGCGGTGAAAATGGTGAAAATTGTGGGGGAAGGTGAGGGGGGTGGGGGGAGCGTTATAATAAAAGTAATAAAGAAAATATGCAATGGCGGCGGTGGAAAATGAAGATGCAGATGAAGTTGAAATGTAAATTTTCTGTCCGAATGGAAGTTCCGTTTCAATGATTGCAAACGGAAAACGGAAAATGGTAAATGTGCGAATGGCGAAATGGAAAATGGAAAACCCCCCATCCCTGGAGACTCGGGAGGGGGTACGCAAGTAAATACGATAAATAAATGTTTAAATAAATAAGTAAATAAATATGTGGACAGCCAGTGGCGGCGGCCCCCAAAAAAAGAAAGGGGAACGGGGGCGAGACCCTGCTGAGGGGTCCGAAAACTCCAAAATGTAATAATTAAATTGCATTTTGCGTCTGCGGCCAAACAAAATGGCGGCCAGCGTTCGAATAAGTGAGACGAAAGGGTATACTAGACGTGGTTAATACCCTTTTAAGAAGGGAAATTAGAACAAATTATAAGAATAAAGTAAAGGGAACATAGGGTTAAATGAGCAAGGAATGGAGTAAAAATAGACAAATAAAAGGGAAAAGAAAAAAGGGTATAATAGACCTGGGGAATACCTTTTAAAGAGGCAGGAATTAAAATAAAGTAAAGGGAAAATAGGGTTAAATAAGCAAGAAAGGAGTAAAAATAGACAAAGAAAAGGGAAAGAAAAATAGGTATATAAGACCTGGTGAATACCCTTTAAAGAAGCAGGAAAAATGTTAATAATACAGTAATGAAAAAATATGGTTAAATTAGCAAGGAAAAGAGTGAAAATATATAAGTAAAAGGAAAAAAAGGGAAAGAAATTAAAAAAGAAATCAGTAGTATAATAAATAAATGCAAAAAGAAATAAGTTAATCATAATTAAATTAAAATACATTATAAATAAACAAGGAAATATGATATTTCTTTTGATAATGCAACCTATGAAGAGCCTAGAAAATTATTAAATATAAAATTAATGGAAATATATATATTTTCTCTATATAATATATATATTTAATTCAAACCATACCCTCAAGTCCATATAACCCTTTCTCGATGACTTTCCCTTAGCGAGTCCTGTATAAATATTTATATGCCTTGGCCACAATCATTGGTTCGCTTAAACATATACACATTCTCCCCGCTTACATAAATGTGATTTTTATATTTATTTTTATTCCCCTTGATATATATATATTTTTTTTTTTGTGTAGAGATTTTCCATCGGTCTTTTGTTGCTTCTTTCTCCAGATTCCATTACATTCAACGTAATTTACGCTACTGATGATGGCGGGCATCAATTGTGCCCAGGGAAAGGCTTACATTTATTTATCATTCAATTAAATATTTAAATACCAAAAATGCTTTCACCGCCGGCCGCCAACTTATTTAAATTTTCCGCACACACACACACACACACACACACACACACACACACACACACCCTCCCCCACGCACACCTTTAATATTGAAATTGAAATCATAAATAAATGAGAAAATTTGCGCTGCATTTTCCGAGCGGTCTCTTCCAACCAACCCGTACATTTTATTGTTATATATATATTTATATATATATTTTATTTTTTTGTGCGTTGTGTATATTTTCGCTGCCCTCGCTTGCAATGTTTGTAAAATTAATTGACATTTTATTTGTTAATTAATTGTTATGGCCATGTGTGTTGTTCTTTGGTTGTTGGCCAGGCTCCGAGGCCCAGTTCAGGGGCCAAAAACTGGCCGAATGGCCAAATGGCAAAATGGCCAAAATGGCTTTTCATTATTGTTATTACAAATGCCGCGGTCATTATTATTTGCTCGTTAAGAGAGCAATGCATTTGTAATTTAGTTTTGTAGTTTTAATTGCGAAATCTGTTCATTTTCTAATAATTTATTTATGCAATTTATTTATGTTTAGCGCGGGCATAAATTTGGATTAATTGGAAATGGCAAACTACAGGTTTTTTTTTGGGGAGTTTACGTGGGAGTTGTTTTTAATATTAAATGCAGGTTGAGATATGTTTTTAAATGTTTTTTAAAATGCTTTAAATGTTGCTGAAGTAAATTTTGGGACTTGTTTTAATATTATTTAAGGTTTTTTTTTTGAGGTGCTTTCCAACACTTTCAGTAATTGCTATTAAATGTTTCATTATCTTTATTTATCTTTAAAAGAAATATTTAGAAAATCGTAAAATGTAATATAATCTTTTAGTTGGTGAAGATTATGAATATATAAACTTATTTATATTTATTTTGTTAATTTTATACATTATTTTTATTTTATTTATTATTTCAAGTCACCTCCTCAGTATTAGGAATAAAATACAGTTTACTTACATCCTAAAATAATTATATTTGGTTTAATGAAAGATTTAAAAATAAAAAAAAGTGAAATATTAAAATAAATTTAAAAGATATTCTAAATTAATCTAAAAAACATAATTAAATTGACTTCCTTCTATTTTATATTTTTTTAACGCACCCTTCTTCTTTGGCACTTTTAATCACTCAATATTATCATGCCCTTTTTAAGAGCTTTAAAAATATAAAAATGCTCTTTAAATTAAAAAAAATAGGCACAGTATTTAAAGACCGTTAAAAGGGATTGTATTTAAATAATTTTATATATGTTTATTAATTGATTTTATTTTAATTAATAAATCTAAGTGAACCTCCTTCTTAGACACTTTGTAAACAAAATGAAGCTTATTAGCTGTTTAGAGAGGGCTTTACAAATATTTAACAATTCTTAAAATTCAAAATATTATTAAAGAATTTAGGGACCATAAAATATGCATAACATTATTTTTTTAATGGTTTTATATAGTTTATTTTCCTATTTATTAATTTAGAATCAACAGCTTTCATAGGCTTTGCGGTTGCAGTTATATGGTTTCTTTTAGATACCTTTAAAAATCTTAATTTTTTTTTTTAAATACAACAAAAATACCCATTTCTTAATATATATATTAAGATATATATTTTGTTTAAAATCTTGTCTTAATAATCACCGCTGCTGCAGTTGCCATAAATTGGAGCTGGCTGGGGGGGAAAAAAACGTGAGATTTTCTAGGCTCGCGGACAGAGGAACTCCTGATTCCCGGGACAGAGACCCATCAATTTTTACAACTTTAAATACCAGCAGGAAGTAACTTGGGCATTCCAGCCTCTCCCCTAGTATCCTGCAGGATCAGAATCAGGAGCAGGAGCAGGAGCAGGAGCTCCCTAGAGCAACATTTCGAACATTTTGGCAATAAGAAAAAGTCATAACAAAATTTTACGACAACTTTGGCGGCGTTTGCTGTTGCTTTTGCTGGTAGTTGGCAGGATACAAACAGGGGGGAGGGGGTTTAAGGATACAGGATACAGGATACGGATGGATGGACCGATGCAAAATGCAAAACAAAGGAAAATTACCAAACCTGCCAGAAAGAGAGAGAAAGAAGCGGCATTCTAATGGCCGCCATCCCGCTGCTTTCTCCTCTTTTTTTTTTTACTTTCTTACTCTAGGAGTGTGGGGGAAGGGGGCATATAATAATCATCTATATTCATGGATTAGGATTCAATTTTTATGCCACACGAGCGAAGGTGAAACAGAAAGGACCTTCGAGAGGGAAAGAGAGAAGAGGGAAGGCAACAATGAGGGTTAAATTGAAAATAAAGCGTTACCCAAAGAAGACACACAGACACCAGAAACAGGACAGGAGGGAAGGAGGGGATAGGAAAATGCACTGGGAAAATTATCAGGAATTTTTTTAAAGTAAAATATGTGGAATTTCTAACTAATACACCTAAATTTCTATAGATTTCTGAGTTGTTTTACTATTAATTAATTATGGTTACCATAAATAAAGCGATTTCTATTTATTTTCAATAAGTTTCTTTAATTAAAAATGTTAAAAATATAAAAAAATATGTTTGTATGCCGAAAGTGGCTAGAAAAATTATATAGCATTTTTTAAATTAAAATATGTGGAATTTTTAACTAATATACAGACATTTTCTAACATTTCAGAGTTATTTTATATTAATTAATTATGGTTACCATGAAAAAGCGATTTCTATTTTTTTTCAATAAGTTTCTTTAATTAAAAAATGTTAAAAATATAAAAAATATGTTTGTATGCCGAAAGTGGCTAGAAAAATTATATAGCATTTTTTAAATTAAAATATGTGGAATTTTTAACTAATATACAGACATTTTCTAACATTTCAGAGTTATTTTTATATTAATTAATTATGGTTACCATGAAAAAAGCGATTTATATTTATTTTCAATAAGTTCTTTAATTTAAAATATATTTAATATATCTTTAAGACCAATAATAAGATATGGAAAGTCTTATTTTTCTGAAATTATTTAAAAAATATTATTTTCTTAAGGTAAAACAATATTCGTAACTTTTTCTTATTAAAGGATATACAAGAGATAATTTCAACATGATTTTTCGTTATAGTTCTCCAACTTAGTTATAAAAATAACACTTTTTATTTAATTTATTACCTTTAATATAATAATTATCCCTTAACAGAATTCTCCCATTTGGCGCAGTGTTTTTAAGCTGGAATTATTTTTTAAATATTTTTCTATAAAGGTAAACTAATTTTTAAAGCATTTTCTTATCAAAGAGACATCAAAGATACTTTCTAAATGTTTCTTTATGATAGT